ATTATATAGAAATTGAAAGTGAGAAAAAAATAATAAGATTTAAAAAGAAAATATATACAGGGTGTTCATGATATATGGGATATATTTGAGGAGTTGCGCAAAAAATAATTATAAGAAAAATGTAATATATTAAGTATAGAAATAATTGACTCTGAAGTATAATTTAGGTCATTAATCATATATTTCATTGAAAACAAAAGAAAAAGAAAACAAATAGCTAAAACTCTCTTTCTGTTTCTCTTTCTTTCTTTTCTAAACTAATTATTAGATTTTAAATATAAATGATTAAAAGTAGGAACACAACAGGAAAATAAGGAAGTAACGGATAATTCATTTAATTTTATTGTAGGGAAGAAAATGATCTAATGACCGACGTTAAAAGCACGATTTCGATTTAGCCAAACTCAACTCGACCGCAAGGTGTGTTACCTCGATGATGATCATTCTACTTTCACACGGGATAAATTGAGGAATATTTTCTTCGATAATAATCTTTTTTATTTTTTTATATTTTTTCATTCGGTTTGGTTTGATTTGTTTGTTGAGAGAGAGAGAAATCGGTATTAAATGAATATTCACGAGGATTGATCTAAGTGGAATGTGACGAGTATAATGAATTTTTTGTTTGTTTTTTTAAAGTAATACTGGTGTACTTAGTAATGAGAATCATAAATCCCACGGTAAATGACTTTCCTATTGTATTTATCTAATTATCTACCATTCTATCTTGTTCTCTCGTTACAAAACCAATTCTAAACCAACCTTCTATTTGTAATAATACCTGATAAAAGGTAAATTAAAAAATATAAAAGAAAATAAGTTCATGTCGTTAAAATGATAAGTGATGTATGTTAAATGATTTTTTTTTTTTAATTAAAAAAACAACGAAAAAAATATAAAAGGAACGAAACACTTGTCATTAATACGAAATTAATATCTGCGAATTGGTTTTTGATTAAGCAAAAAAAATATTTAAAAAAATATACCTATAGAAATTTTGACTGTTACACAACATAATAAAGGAGATGCAAGACAAGATTTACAAACATTAATAACAAATATTGTGGTATAATAATCACGATATGTCTGTGAATGATTTTAAATCAAGAATAAATAAAAAAAAGTAATAAGAGAGTCACGATATTTTTACGTGAATCACGATTTATGGAAATTAAATGGGGAAGAATTTACTTCTCGATCTCATAATCGTGTCCTATTTCTTGTTAGATCTTTTTTCTATATGGGTCTCATCAAATCGATGACCCCTATTTTTTCTTTATATTAAAAACTGATAATTAAAAAATTTCAACGCAATGTGCAACGTAGAAGTGGAAAAGTAAGGAAAATTAAGATTCGCTTTTATAAAAAAAAAGATTTTTAATTCCAAATGAAATTTGTAAGATACTAAAAGCATTTGCTCGTTAAACCGAAGGATTAAACTATATACAGGGTGTTCTAAATATCTTCGATTGGATTTACTATCTCGTAGTTAATCGAGATTTGAGATTAACCTACAAAATATAATTACATAATAAAAAAAAAATATATATGAAAAATTCAGAAGAACAGGTGAAAAAAAAAGAAAATTATTTTTATATGAAATGAGAGAAAAATATTTCATATTTAATAAATATATAAAATCTATAACATGTTTATATATGTAAAAAAATTAAAAAAAGAAATATATATGATTATATATGTATATAATAATAATGATAATAATACTAATAAGAAGAAGAAAAAAAAAAGAAAAAGAAACGAAATCCTGACAGATATAGAAAACGGAAGTGGAATAGAATTGAGTCGAGTATAGTAGAGTCGGTCAGTCTGACAGGTAGGCCACGTGTAGGATATATATCGGGTGGTTGTGTTCGAAGTAGAGAGAGAGCTAATGCACACGTACGTTCACCAGGGCAACGAATGCACTTGCACTTTTTAATAGAACCTGTTTCCTCAACAACACCAACTGACACACAAGAGATCCTTGTTCGCGAAAAACCACACCCACGAAAGAGAAATAATCAAGGTGTGCAAGAGAAATAGTATATATGCGTTATAATGTAAAAGATTGAAATTGGATAATGTCAAGATTCGCATTGTTAATTTTCGATATATACCTAATAAGTCGGTGAAAAACCGATTATTTAAATATATTCTTATAACATTCGCACCATCATCGGTGTATATTCGTCAAAAATCGATACAATCTAATAGATAAAAGTTTTTTTGCAATATTATTATTGGTAGTATTTTCTTTTATCATTTATAATGTGTTAGTTAATGTTAATTTTAAGTTAAACAATTTTATTTGCACACGTTGTTGTATGTCGTAATATGTTTTAATAATAAAATACGATTTGATAAACGTTACAAAAATATTTGTTTTCAACGTTCAATCTATTGGTGGGTGGTGAATGTTGATATTAGTTGATGTGAGTCAGAAATAAGAATATTTAACAAATATTTTCGTTATATATCAAGAAACAAACACGTGAATCTTGAAATTCACCAATTTCGATCTTTTACAATAACATATGCACGACGAAAGAGAGACAGTACAATAAATAAAGCGCAAGGGAAAAAAATAAAATAATTTTTAAATATAATCATTTTTCTCTGTTACAATTTATAAGTCAAGAAAAGAAGGTATATTATTCATCGTAATTTTATCGAAAAATAAAAAAATAAAAAGGACAGGAAAATAATGTGGCAAGTGTATTGTTTTGTTTTGAAAATTTGTAAGAATAATTTCAAGACGTTTTGCATCTTCGTGCACTTTCAAGAAAGTCATCACGAAATTCGACGAGAGTTGTTACTCCAAACATACGTTATATATCGTATATTGGTTTCCTCTTTCTATAATTCTTTTTTTTCATGTTCTTAACATCGATAAATAACGTTTCGAGAATGACTTTTGTATGTTAGATCTCGAACGAAAACGTTTTTTCTTTTTTTCATTTTTATCGATACCCGGAACTCTGACGATTTATCTTTCACGTTTACAGTATGGCGCGGAGGTGTATATGATTATTGCGAAAATGTATTATAATATCTATGAATTCGATCGTTATCGTATTGTTTTAATCCTGTTTTCTTTTTTTTTTTTTTTATTTGAAAAAACATTAAAATAAAAATCGTTAAAATGCGCGAAGAGAAAAAAAAGAACGTAATAATAAAAAACGTTTTCTCTTATTTTTTTTTATTGGGTGTTACTTCAAATGGCGAAAACAGGAGCATACATTTGAACAATACGGAAACATATCGAACGAGTTTTTTTGTCGTGTTTTTTCAAATGGTTTAATCCAAGGCTGATATTTTTTATGATAGATAACCTTAAAAAGTAACTCCGAAAAATGTTTACTTTCTTTTTTAGATGTTTTACATACAATGTGAAAAACGAAAATGTTCTTCTGCTTTTTTAAATAGAAAATGAAAAACACACGACGAATATAATACGCGACTCAATAGGATATGGTATGTAGAATTTTATTCAACCATAAATCGATTCTTCAATCGTGCATTACTCGAAATTACGAAGTTGAAAATATTATCTCAATGGTAGGGTTATTTATTAATTAGGTGATTACTTTCGAACCCTTTCAATTGCTATGGATTATTATTCCTGTCGGTTTGATCGTTTAAAAGATACGCTTGATTCGCGTAATGTATCACACATTTCCATTCGCTAGAATGATATTTATTTTCTTTAGAAATCTTGCATAAGCGTTTATTGCATTTATGACAAATGTTCTCTATTTGTTTTCTATTTACTGCCAATTTTTTTCTATCTTTCCGTTATATCTACGATACACGTGTACCAATTTTTTTTTATATGCAAATAAAGAACATAAATATATTAAATAACAAAAAATTTGTTTATTTATATATATATATATTAGATGAGGTAAAATAATAATGAAAAAATAGTTGACATCCAAAAACAAGGAAAAGAAAAATACAAGAAAAATATATACTGCTGATTAATATTTAAGTAATCGAGAAAGTACGTGACGTTTTTTAATTTGAATATCATTTATCTTTTTTGATTCAAAAACGGCACAACACTTTCTTAATTATCTCTGATACTAATTAAAGCAAAACTTTGTGCCGTTTTAATCAATAAGAAACGAATGATGCACATAAACTTAAAAACGGCACGAACTTTCTTGATCATCAACAATTCGATACTGCTAATATTTATAAATATTAATTTAAAAATAATAAATAATATATAATTAATATGTATACGGTTATGTTAGTTATTTTCGCAATGATTTTCACATCCATCAAATAATGAAGATAATTAAAAATGTTGAAGAATAGTTGAACAAAAAATAACTTATGTAATGGTTAAATCATTAAAAATGACTTACGTATTAATTTTTCATGAACATGGGGGCACACCTCAAAAAGGCACGTGTCTAACTTAAGGAAAACAAAAGAAATACGATTATTTCATTGCCCTCGAGGCAATCACTATCTCATATACTATATATATATATATATATACACACATATACCTACACGTCTTTGGTTGTGTTGCGTTTCGGTCGGACCGCTTAAACTTTCACTGCAGTTTTTATTAGAACGCGCACTCGTTACGCGTCGTCGTTTACCGTTTAGAAATCGTCGTTCTGTTTCTTTCTTGTTCTTCCACGTGTTTTATTTTTTGTTTTGTAATAATTCCACCAAAAAAATTTTCATGAAAAAATAAACTCAAAAAAAAAACTCCTATTTTCTTCTTTTTGTTTTGTTTAAATTAAATATAAAAAAGAAGAATCGAATTATATAATATATTTCGAATCAATGATAAACGAACGAAATAAAATTATCGCGTTGAATAATTTCAAATATTTATCAAACAATACCGTTTATTTCGTTTATTATTATTAATTTGATTTTTTATTTTTATTTCTTTTTCATTTAATTTTATTTTCTTTCATCGTCGTTTATATCTTTTTTTTTTTTATTAATTTTCATTCATAATTTCATTTCAGAATGAAGGGAGGAAACAAATATGGCGCTGCTCTATTGCTATTGGTCCTAATCGATTTGACATCGTCGGCTATGGTTTTACCAAGACCACCATCCTCGCCTAATCACATACACGAAGATCACGAAATAAACGATAGAAAAATTTACGAGGGTGGTAAATCTGTTCACGGTTACTTTCAAAATACTAACGTAGAGAGACCTGACACGGACAATAATTATAGGTAAGTCAACGATCTAGTGAAACTATCGAATTCACTTTTTGTATTCTATTTTTTTCTAACGCATACTCGTGAAACCTGTTACAACACGATCCTGCTAACGATTATTAACGTGTATATATATATATATGCTCACAATTAGATAAAATTACCTAATCACGATGGCAAAATTATACCTTCACGGATTTGTTTTCTCTTGTTTAAATTTTTGTGTTCTCATTTCTTCTTTCTTCTTTTCTTCTCTCTTCTCTTCTCTTCTCTTCTCTTCTTTTTCTTTCTTTGTTTCGTTTAATCGGTATTGAAATTACATACCGTTGTTGAGCTAGATCACTTTCGCTCATTGCTAAATGATGGATGTCCCAGAAACTAGGCTAACTCGTTAGCCCGCTCACAAAGACGGTAAAAGTCATTTAAACGTGTTATTACGGTTTCACGAGAAAATAAAGAAGAGTTTCATTGTTCGAAAACAATTCTGATTCTATGATAATAATCCATATTTGTTCTTATTTATTTTCTTTTCTTTTTAAAATAGGCTTGTGGAAATAGAAGTCCAGAGTACTGGGGACGTAGACCCAGAAAATCTTCAAGGATTGGTCCACGTAGTATTGAAGAATCAACAAACGTTACAATCCTCAAACGACAGTTACCCTAATCCCGAAGTAGTACCAAACTCGATATTAGGTGTAAGGAATATTGGTATATCATCGAACTTCCGTTTGGATGGTTACGACGAATCAGAGAAAAGAGTATTATTGAGTCCACCAAAGTTACACAATCTCGATGAAAAATTATATTATTTGAAAAACGGTAAACCAAAGGTTTACGTTAACGTAAGAGGTAACAGCGGCACTTTCAGGAAAATAGAAACAGGCCCTAGAAGTACTTTCAGCGAAGGTCCGTTGGATTATCTTCGCGTAACTAGACCCTTCGAAATGCAAACCGATTGGAAAACTAAACACGAGAAAAAAGTTAAACCACCAAAAAAGTTTGATCGACGGGTTCACAATACCGACAATTTGGAGGATACGAAAAATTCTGTACAAAATTCTGAAGTCAATGGTATGAGAGAACATGCATGGGCTTTGGGTTCTGAACATTTGTCGACCACGGAAAATTCAATGGTAACTTCTAGTGAATTACCTAAACAAATACCAGCCCCACCTAGCAAAGTATCCGGTAGACTTCGTATGGCGCAAACTACGCCTGTACAAAGGTATTCTTTAAGAAGGACCGAAGTTTTGCCAAGTTATAGGGTTTACGAGGATTGACCAAATTCCTGGCTAAATACCATGAAAAGTTATTGTCCAGGAGTTGTTCTTGTTGTTGTTGTTATGGAAATCGTCGTTATCGTGGATTTTCCAAGCTGAAGATTATAGATCATGCTAGGTTTGCTAGAGGTGTCCAATCTTTCAGCATTTTAAAACAAAAATTTATGCCCGGCAGCATATTCCAAAATTATACTAATTCTAAGGATAAAAATTATGACGCATAAAAATAAGTTAATAATTTTGTAAAAAAACTTATTACAATTTTTATAATATGTTGATTGCTATGTGGCTTGCGGGTTGGATACTCCTGGTCTAAGGCATTAACAGAAACGCCAAATGATGATGAAAAAAACGATGAGTTCACTATATATATTGCCTTTCAACATTTTCATACGATGAATTAATTTGACACTAATAAAACGATCCTGAGATATTGTTCCTACAAATAATTCTCGATCAATTTTGGCCGTGGTTTCGAGAATAAAATTAGTCGTTCGAATATAATTGTAAATGTGTCATGTAAATTTGTAAATTTGCATAAAAGTTGATGAGCTAGCTGTGATTCTTTTTTTCTTTCAGACAAAAAATCTTGCCTCTTACTTTTTTTGTTGAAAAAAGAAAAGAAAAAAAACAAAAAAGTGGACGTTAACGTGGAAATTTACTTGGATCAATGTTTAGCAAAAAAAGAAAAAAAAAAGAAAAAAAAAGAAAATAAAAGATTTACACACAGATCGGTTATTTATAATAGAAAATATATAGCTTGTATTATATATATAATATATGTAATTTAACTAATATTATATAATTTAATAGAATAACAACAATGGCAATAATAGTAATATATTGTGATTATTAACGATACGATAATATCGAGCAATAAAAAAATATGTGCCGATAATTAATCGAATAATATTAAACAAAAAAAAACACACACTTACCTGTTCGGCCTTTAACGTTAGTTCTATGAAGATTTGTTGTAATTTTTCATTAACGAAATTAATGCAGAATTGTTCGAAACCATTTTTCTCGAATATTTCGAAACCATAAATATCCAATATTCCAATTTCGTAACTATCGGTATTAGTTTCCATCGCCGAATTTACTCTCTGCGAAATAATGAATTGATATTAATATTAATGAAAAAGAATAATGTTCAAAAATATTATATAAAAAATATTTATAAAAATATTAAGCTGAATCACAAGTTCGCGCAGTTTATTGTGTTGTTTCAGATAGTGCAATTTTTTGAAGTCAATAAAATTACTTTGTATACAAGTGAAATATTAATAAAAAAAACAAACCGCACGAACTTTTGGGTCACCCTAATATTTATATAAAAATAAATAAAATATATTATATAATATAAAATTAATTGGCAAAAAAAAATTGTTAAATTAACGTACCTTGACCAAATAATCGAAAAGCCTGGCATAAATGTCCTTGGCCAAGGCGTCTCGTGTATAAAGGGCTTGTTCAACGTTTAAAGTCACGTCTACGCTTTCAGACTGGCTTCCCCATTTTGATTCGAATTCACGAGACGTCAGCTTGTGCGACAACTGTTCCGCAGAGATTCCGAATAGGTAAGCAGGAAAATCAAGAACTAAATAACCGATAAAACGTGATCAGAACAATGAAATGTTTATCATTTTTTATAATACGATAGGATTTTAATTCCATCTCATTTCTAACGTTCTAACATTTTTCGAATTTAATTTATCGTTCAATGATTTTTTTAATTTTATTTACCCAAATTTTACGACAATCATATCTCTAACTTATTTAAAAAAAAAATCATTCAATTATCGTTCAGTTAATTTATTTTACCAAATTTCGCAACGAAACGAATTTTTCATTTTCTTTTCTTCGTGAAAATTCAAACTGAGCTCTGAAATTTGATCCGTTTGTTGATAAATAATTAAAAATAAATTAACAGAAGCCCATCATAAATATCCAAGTTGAAAATAAAAAATAAAAACTGAAAATTACATTATTTTTCTTTTTCGATTGTTCAAGAAACAATTTGGTTTGAGAGGTCACATTTTTTCTTTCAGTAAAGATACTACATGTTGAATGTCATTTAACAACTCGATAACCATGCCCTTTAGATTAAATCAATTTTCTCATGTTCTTCAATTTTTAACAAATGAGGAATATAATGAATATACTAACATTGCTTATCAGCAACTTGTGAATAATTTCCTTTCTCAACGAATTGAATATTTCCAACATGAAGTATCCCTGCTACCAACTTGAAGATGTCAGATACTTCACAGTTTTGTATTCCCATAACTCGTAATGCTAAAGAAAAAAAAAACAAAGACCAAATATAAAAAAAAAACTCAGAACAAGTAATTTACATACGATAATAACATTGTTAATGATAAAATATGTAATACCTTTCAATGTTTCTTGAAAATCACGAGCATCGTTGCTACCTTCCACTTTATGATTACCACCATAACTCAAATATTGATAATAATCAAGATCAGTCAATCCCAATTCAGCTGTAAGACAATACAATATATCATTTACGAAATTATTTCATTTTCTTTAGATGTATGTATGTGTCTGTATCTGTGTGTGTGTATAGAATAAAAAAAAATTTGTTTTTTAAATCACACGTTCAATTCAGAATTGAATCTTAACAATTCTATTGAATTGAATCTTAATCAATTTCTATTCACTTACACTTCATTTGAGAGTCAGCACCGGTTGCCAATTGATAAAATATATGAAAGTTCCTTTCTCCGGGATTGTGACATGTCACTCTAGATTTTTCTAATAAAAAATTCGATATTTTTCCACCGTTTGGTTGTCCACCTGTACCGAATTGTATCTCAACGTACTTCCCCTGAAAAAAAGTTGATTAATTAATAATTTCTCGACATTTTGATTACATATATTAAAAATAAATACGCGTAAGTATAAATTGAAGCAAAAAATACACCCACCCCCCCCCTAAACTTATCAAAAGGATAGTAATAAAGACAGTATAAATAAAAGAGAAAAAAAACAATGGAATAGTGGAGTAAATGAAATAAATATAATTAAACAAATATTGTAAACCTAAGTTCACAGATTAATCTATCTAGCCGTTTGCAATAAATTACTATAATATTACAAATATATAATATACATTATAAATTATGAGAATGTGTCTAACAGAGAAACAAGTTTTATATCTGTCAAATTCACTTTCATTAGAAAAAAAAACAAAGGATAAATACTTTGTCGAGGCTAAGAACTTTTCAACCCACACTTCTATATATATTCTTATAAGATAAATAATTATTATTACAAGATAAACATAATTTAGAACAAATAAGAAAATTTTTTACTTATAATAAAAAAAAAGAAAAAAAATATATGAATATATTTTTTGCATATAATTTAATACATATAGTAGAAACGTACAAATCTGCTACTATTATTGTTTCGCATAGTCTTTGCATTGCCGAAAGCTTCTAAAAGTGGATTAGACTCCAAAATCACATCTTTAACTTTCTGTACTTTCTCACCACCTCCACTTATCCTTGCTATATACGACATTATGTATTTAGCTGCTACAGTTTTACCAGCACCGGATTCGCCGCTAAAAATAATACAAATTTGAATTATAAAAACATTTTACAAAAAGATAAGATATCTATTCATATATATATATACGCGTGTGTGCATGTGTATTATTTACCTTATAATAACACATTGACTTTCATTATCGATCAACATGTTTCTATACATGTCATCTGCCAATCCGTAAATGTGTGGAGGATTTTCGTAGGGTGCCTAAACAAAATTTTTAAATTTAAATATAATATATATTATTAGATATATTATATAGATATTTTTAAATAAATTAGTAATGCTAAAGTTTTATATATTAAATACAAAAATTCAATTAAAAATAATATATATATATATATTTGCATCACAACCTATGGTACATTCGTTGATGAGTCGAAAAGTTTTGAACCTGAACGTGAAAACAATTTTTTGTTGGTCAAACTAATTTGTAAATTGATCATTTGTTGAGACTCAAAAAAACTATCGAATTGACCCAGCCATGTATGTTTAATAATATACATTAAATAAATGAATACAAAGTAAATTATTTATTTAATTAATTACATAAAAGAATAATAATAAATAAATCATTTATCAATAGGTACATAAAATAGAAATAAATAATTGAATTAATTTATTCATTAAACTATGAAACATTTTAATGCAAGTAATAGGTCCTGTAGGTATGTAAAACTGTATTACTGACGTAGAAAGTTTAATCATCATTCTGGGGCAATTGATGCGAATTCGAACATATATATATATATTTACGCTTATTTATAATAATTATATATATATATATATATATGTATATATATATTTATTTATAAAAAGGAAAAGTTTGTTTGATAACTCACTGCTCCTTGGTAAATTTCTACTTCCTTTTCACCAAAATATGGCATCTGTTTAAAGGGGTTGATCGATACCAGGACAGGGCCGATGCATGTCTGACAAAAATTAAGGAAATTTTTCAAAGTCATGCCGTAACCTCGTAATCGGATTAACGATTATAACAAATATATCGCGAAAGAATGAAATAAAAGAATTTTATCGATTGATTTAAAAAAATGTTGGAGAAATAGTATAGTTATTTTAAAGATAATAACATTTCTTATAATAACTTTTTGCTTTTGTAATAAAATATTCAAAATTTACTTTTGTTTTAATTACATTGTTTGAAAGAACATTAAATTGGTATTATTTCAAAAGCTTTTCTAATCACGTGGAACAATGATAAATCTTTTGAAAATATTTCCTCGAATGAATTAATCGATAATTTTTCAACAAAAGGATACGAATATATAATCGTCTATGTATCTTTTTTTAAGATTTTCGATAATGGCTTCCTCGGTGATTTTTGGAAGCAGCACCATGTCGTCCACCCCCGAAACTTTGACATTTTGACTTTGCCAATGGTAAACCTGAAAGAAAAAGTATATTAAAATTATCAAAAATGAAAAAAACAAATAAACAAATTATATGCAATCATTAATTAATTAATATCTGTGATGATATTTTAATACGAGATCAATGAAAAAGATATTATTCTTGTTAATTGTGAACGTAACCGAAATACGTTTACTATTTTTAGCACGGACATGTTAAAAGAAATTTTTCTTTTTCCTATGATCAGATTACCGAATGTACAAAACTTTGATTAATCTTGATTTGTTAAAGCCTTTTACAACAGCTTTGGTTAATATCATTTAGTCGGCACAGTTTTAAAACGAATAAAAATAAATATAGGTCGTGAAAAGAGTTGCGCCACCGTCGCGCCATTGTCGTAGATCTTAACTGTTTTACCGTCATTAACCCCCCCCCCCATACATCTCGTTTTTCAGTGTGCCATGAAAATCCTATTAGGATTCTCTCCAGTCTTTACGGCTTTTAATGATCCTGATTGGTTTTGACGGGCAATGTTGCTCGCTTCGAGAAAATCGATTGAAACGTTAACCTCCAATAAACAGTATTACGCTTCTCTTGCAGCACTTAAAAACTTTCATGAAAATACAATCTCTAAAGTAGCAAATGTTCCATTCAAAAATTGTTTTTTACAGTCGAATAAGTTCATTTCAATTTTTATTCTTACATTTTTATCACTCAAATATTCATAATAATGATATACAAAACAAATTTTTAATGTTTTAGGATAGTGTGTTTTAACTATTCGAATATTCATTCAATTAATTAAATTTATTTAATGTAATAATTTTTGTTAACAAAATTGGATACAAAATTCTATTTCGTTAAAAGATAAGACAAAATGTTCGCAAAGATAACAAAATCTAATCTAGCAAGAATATTATTATTGACACTGATTGCACTAATCTATAGTTTTTTTTAAACTAAAAAAACGATTGATATAATCTTCAATATTATCCGTATATAAATAATAGATTTGACGTGTAAGTATGTGAAACTATGTTGACGACACGCGATAATCAGGAATGGTTGGCTGGCTCATTGACAGAAATACTGCAAACGTAAGCGTATTGCGTATCGATCCGAACTTTTAACACTTCCTAACATTTCCGTTTACTTGACGATGAGAAAAGATAACGAGATGAGATAACCGTTAAAATATTAAACCATTCAACCTACTATACTAATTAATATTTCGTAATTCGACGCAAGTGGACGCATCTGTTTTTTTTTTCCGTAATTTAATTACGTTATGCTCTACTACCTTGTATAAGTATTTTCCAAAAATAAAATAACTTTTTACAGAGAATGCTTCATTTTCGATAGGATTGAGAAACTTTTTTTGAAGATAATTTATTTATTTATTTGTTTATTAGTATTATACATAAAGGAAACTATTTTGCGAGGACAATTATTATATCTGACAATGCAGGTAATACATTTTTTTATAATACGTAATTAAAGATCATATTAATTTTCATAGAAATAATGTAAACAGTGAAAATATTTCCCAGGATGATTTTTCTTCGAAATTATTTATTTATTTACTTATTATTAATGTGTAAACAAAAATCATATCAAAAGTACACTTGATATAATTGTTGCATTGAATATCTTGCATATAATTCAAACAAAATGTTTAATAATAAATCAACAAAATTAAAATACTTAACTAATTGAAAATATTATTCGTACAGACATAAAGTATTACTATTTAAATTTACTTATTGTTATATTTTCAGGAACAAAAATTCATAACACAATAATCGTACAAGACCGTACGTGATTGCATGTACTTACGTAAAATGAAAAAAAAATGCATAAAAAAATGGTCTTTACTACATCCTAAATATGAGAGAAAGAAAAAGAAAGAAAGAGAGGGAGGGAGAGAGAGAGAGAGAGAGAGAGAGAGAGAGAGAGAGATGTGAAAGAGAAGATAAACGTAATATAAGTTGGTAAGCAGAACAATCATTGTGGTGTATAGCTGCACGAGAAGCGGAAGTGGTTCTCATATTGTCCTTTCCCGTGAAATTTTCTTTCCTTCTTTCTTCACTTTCACACTTTTTTAATTATACATACAAAGTATTCTTCACGATTTGGGAAATCCGAAAACTCTAAGTGCAATTATGTATTTATTTCAACAAAATTTTGTACAATATTTTATTTTATGATTTAATTTTAAGATCCGATGTTACTTTACTTTTTTTTTTTACGAAAGAAAATAGAAAATAGAAAAAATATAGAAAACTTGGTTTTATTATAGTATTATAATTGCATCATAGGAAGCAACGTAACGAAATAAAATAAAATAACCGGATAAAAGAAAAAAAAAGTAATTTAAAATTATAACAAAAATATACTTGTTTCTATTACAATCAAATTGTACTAAAGCAACACAAACACACACACACAAACAAAACAAATATCAAATTACCCAATGGACGAAATAAAAATAGTAAACAAAAAATAATTGTTTTTGTGGCAAATTAGATAGTGCGAGCAAGGCAACGTTAAAAACAAGAAAATAAAATAAAATACAATTTGCAAACTAGAGAATAATATTATAGTTTCGCGTAGGGAAATTGTATCGGTCATTGTTCTGTACTTAAACACCTATACAGTCAATGATATAGGTCGGATGAGGTCAAAGGGATAGGATAGGCTTGGCTTAATTATCGACATAAATCACTATAGGATATGGTCGTTGTTAGAAGCTAATCTCCGAACGCGCGGGTCCATTGAGGTGATTTCACGGTTTCCGGTTTCTGCTCAAGCTTGGGTCTCCTGCAATGAAACTGTCTATTCGTTCACCGGAATTCCGCTGGCAGCTGCCAACGAGATATTCTCCTCCCATCTTTGTACAATCTCGACATTCTACCTTCCAACCCATTTCTCTCTCTCTCTCTATATATATATATATATATA